ATGCTCGTGGCCTGGCCAGGTATTCGCACCTCGCTGTTCGATGTGGCGGCCCCCGAGTCGATTACGAATTTCGGCGCGCTCGGGGCAGCAGACAGTCCTATGACGCTCCGATCCCACCGCCCCCAGACACGCCTGACACAGATTATTCCCAACCATCCTGTGGTGTTGGGTCCTCGTTTTGAAGAGACGGTGGCCCGCGTCTCCTCTCCTCCTCTCCTCCTCCCCCTCCTCCTTGCGTTTCACCCACCCAGCACAGCGTTTCGTAGCCTCATAGGGAGCTCCACCGAAGGCCCCAGTGGCAGGGTTCGCATGGCGGCCTCGGCCTCGGGCCATTTCGGCACACCCCTCACGAGGATCGTGGCCCATAGGGAGCTCCACCGAAGGCGCCAGTGGCAGGGTTCGCATGGCGGCCTCGGGCCATTTCGGCACACCCCTCACGAGGATCGTGGCCCCATAAGGGAGCTCCACCGAAGGCGCCAGTGGCAGGGTTCGCATGGCGGCCTCGGGCCATTTCGGCACACCCCTCACGAGGATCGTGGCCCCATAGGGAGCTCCACCGAAGGCGCCAGTGGCAGGGTTCGCATGGCGGCCTCGGGCCATTTCGGCACACCCCTCACGACGATCGTGGACCCATAAAGGGAGCTCCACCGAAGGCGCCAGTGGCAGGGTTCGCATGGCGGCCTCGGGCCATTTCGGCACACCCCTCACGAGGATCGTGGCCCCATAGGGAGCTCCACCGACTGCCCCCAGTGGCAGGGTTCGCATGGCGGCCTCGGGCCATGTTGGCACACCCCTCACGAGGATCGTGGCCCCATAGGGAGCTCCACCGACTGCCCCCAGTGGCAGGGTTCGCATGGCGGCCTCGGGCCATTTCGGCACACCCCTCTCGAGGATCGTGGCCCCATAGGGAGCTCCACGGGTTCGCATGGCGGCCTCGGGCCATTTCGGCACACCCCTCACGAGGATCGTGGCCCCATAGGGAGCTCCACTGAAGGCCCCGGTGGCAGGGTTCGCATGGCGGCCTCGGGCCATTTCGGCACACCCCCCACGAGGATCGTGGCCCCATAGGGAGCTCCACCGAAGGCGCCAGTGGCAGGGTTCGCATGGCGGCCTCGGGCCATTTCGGCACCCCCTCACGAGGATCGTGGCCCCATAGGGAGCTCCACCGAAGGCCCCAGTGGCAGGGTTCGCATGGCGGCCTCGGGCCATTTCGGCACACCCCTCACGACGATCGTAGACCCCACTGGAGCTCCACCGAAGGCGCCAGTGGCAGGGTTCGCATGGCGGCCCCGGGCCATTTCGGCACACCCCTCACGAGGATCGTGGCCCCATAGTTGTGCTGCTTCAACAACCGCGCCTGCGCGTCGTACTCCGCCTTGTCGACGTGCAACGCCACCTCCTCCCTCATGGCTCTCAAGGCCCTTTCCTGCTTCTGCTCCTCGGTGAGAGGGACGCCGTCCTTGTCGTCGTCGGCGCCCGCGAAGACGGCCACGAACGTGTCCCTGAGCATGTCGGGCTCCGGCGGGAAGCCGTGGCCACATAGGGAGCGCGGGCGACGATGGTATTCACAATTGCGGTATTCACAACTGCATATGGTTGGGTCCTTCGCCAGGATCATTTTCACCATCACCATGTGCAAAGAGACGGTTCTGGGCCCTAGAGCCTCCGCAGAGCACTTGACGCACACGAGTTTGATGCTCCTGGGCCCAGGATTTCGCGAGTTTGTGCCGCAAGAGGGCGCGCACAGGTCCGAGAGAGGGCCCGCGGCCTGCGCCAGGCTCTTCGCCCCAGCGGGCCATCCAGCCCTGCTTGAGCTTTTGCTGAGTGGCACCCTTGGCCATGTGAAAAAGGTCTCGCAAAAGAAACTGCCTCAGATCAAGATCAGCATGTCTTGTGAATGCCGACCATGGCGAACCGAACGTGAGCACCAGCCAATCATCCTCAGCGTGACGACGAAGGCCGCTGCAGGTCCCACAACGATATGCCAGGGATGTCTAGCCCGTGCCACTCGGATACTCCGCTTCTTCCAGGCGCTCGTCAGTCGCCCTTCCAGGTTGGGGTCCTGGTCTGTCTCTTGCCAGGCTCGGGCCCTTGCAAGAATGGATCCCGTCGTCGCAACCACGTCCCGGTCGATGTCGTCTACCAGGAGCACCATTGAGGTGGAGCGCCCGGCATGGGACCCCGGCAGGGCGGCCGCGACGGAGTGCCTGAGGTTGGCCAGGCAAGCATCGTTGATACCCTGCACCCGCGTTCCGCGGAGGATGGATGGGGGTGGCGCCTTGCCGCACTGTTTTGTGCGCTGCTCCTCCCGCTGCCTTCAGTCGGCGGATGCGCTCACCGCGTGCCGCCTGCCTGCTGGTCCGCTTGCTGGCCGCGGCCATGAGACGTCGACGCCCGGCGGCCGACGTGATGCAGAGGTGTTTCTCGTGCCGCACCTGCTCGACGCCATGGCCCTTGCGGGTGCCCTTCATGTTCTGCTCGGCCGCAGTCGTGGATGACAGCGTCGCTGACCAGCCCTCGGCCCCGCGCGAGACCGCCAGGCCAAGCGTGCCTTCAGGGCGTCCACGACCTGCTTCATCGCCTCGGCGTGCTGGTGTTTGATGAACTCTCGCGGCCCATGCGTTCGTCGCCAGCGAGAAGGTCGTCGAACAACAGGCATACTTCGGCCCACGGGAAGGCGTAGACGATGGCGTCCACCACGCCCATGAGCACCATTCTGAGGCACAGGGGCGCGAATATGCTGCCCGCGATGATGCCCCTGATCCAGCGCTCCTCCATCGTGTGAGCGTTGTCCGCAGAGGAGGAGGAGGAGAAGGAGGACGAGGAGGAGGAGGAGGGACAACAGGAGGAGGAGGAGGAGGAGGAGGAGGAGGAGGAGGAGGATCGGTAGGGCTTACTGTGGGAGGTGGAGCGGGGTAGGTGGAGGGGAGGGGGGGGAGGAGCCGAGGAGGGAGCAGGGGACGAGGGGGTGGGGCGGCTTCGGGCGGAGGGGGAGGAGAAGCTCCGCCCCCCGCCCGCGCCAGGACGACCACCTGCGGCTCAGCCGCCTCGCGATTCGGCTGCTGCACACGCCGCTGCCCGCGGACGGCCCCCAGGCGGCTTCGGTGGCCTCCGACGGCCCTGGCTAGCCCACGCCGGCCCCGGCAGGCCGTCGCAGGCCATTACTAGCCGGCGTTGTCGTCGTCGTTCGTCGTTCGGCATGTGGGAAGCGGTCTTCGTCGTCGGTCGTCGTTCGCCACGTCGTCGTCGTTCGTCGTACGCCACGGCACGGTTGTCGTCGACGTCGTTCGTCGTTCGCCTCAAGTTTTCTGTTCCGTTTTTGGGCTCTCGGGGCCCTCCACGGGCCCTGGGCCGGTCAGAAAACGGCTCAGGATGGTCTCGTCCTTGGAGGAGGCCTTGCGGTCCAGGACCCGTTTCCATCAGGAGTTGTTTCTCCCATGTTATGTCGTTCGTTCCCCATCGTTGTCGTCGTGGTGCTCGTGATTTCTGTCGTCCTGGTCCCCATCCTCCTCTTTCCCTCCCACTCCTCCTGTCCCCTCCTCTTCCTCCTCCTGCTCCTCCTCGTCCTCCTCCCATCCTCCTCCTCCTCCTCCTCCTCCTCCTCCTCCTCCTCCTCCTCCTCCCCATCCTCCCCTGTTGTGCAAAAATATTTGCCAGCTTCTTGGCATGATGAGGTTTAGTAACTCATTTGAACTCCTCTGGCCTGGATCATTGCTTATTTCTTCTTGTCCGTCGTCGAAGGGCAAAGGGGGAGTGCGCGCATGAAAACTAGCTCGCTGGTGCGGTAAGAAGAGGAAAGCGGGGGAGGAGAGAAGGAGGACGGGTGCCCAGAATATTATGTTTATCCTTCTTTTCCTCCTCGGAGGTCATCCTCGGAGGTTCTCCTCTCGGTCCCTTTCCTCGTCCTCCTCCTCCTCCACCCCCACCTCCTCCCTGTCATCTCTCACCCTCCTCGTCGTCCCTGTCCTCCCTTTTCTCCACCTCCTCCTACTTGTCCACCTCCTCTGCTCCTCCTCCCGCCCCTCTTCCTCTTGTTCCTCGTCCTCTCCGTCCCCAGTCGCTGGAGACCTCTTCGCGGCTCCCCCTCCGAAGCCTGCCGTTTTGCTCGAAGAGCTTCCAACAGTCGCACGGTCCGCCGAGGATGCTCCACGTTGGCGCCCCGTGCTCAGCAAGATGGGGCCGCCTGGGCGCCCCGCTCCCCAGGTGGTTCCGTCAACGGGTTCGCCTCGTTGGAGCCCCATGCCCGTCAGATGGCGCTTTGTGCCTCGACCACCTGTGGGCTCCACGTGGCACCACTCGATCGAGCGTGCCTACGCCGCGTCGAGGCTGCAGCGGAAGCCCCCCCGAGGATGCGCTCGAGCACGCGTGGGCGCGCAGGCGAACGCGCGCGCGAGCGCGCACGCGTGCGCGGGCACGCACACGCACACGCACACGCACACGCACACACACACACACACACACCCGCACACACACACACAGACACAGACACAGACACAGACACAGACACAGACACACACACACACACACACACACACACACACACACACACACACACGCGCGCGCGCTCGTGGGCTGCCCGTTTTTGGGGTGGATATTGCCGCTTGAGCCTCACAGGTCACACCGCGTAGCTTGCGTTGCATACAATGGTTGGTAGCACGCAGCTCGCACCATGTAGCTTACACGAACCGACCAGCATCTCACAGCTCACACCGCATAGTTTAAACAGCCTAGCTGGCATCACATATATTACACAGCTCCCAGACCATATATTCTCCTTTCTAAAAAGAGAATGGACTCTACCCCCCCGACTTATCGCTTCCCCCTGGGATAGTATGATTTCATATATTTTCTGCACACTCGTCCATCCTAAATATGAAATCATACCATCCCAGCCAGGCCGGGTTCCCCCCCTGAGGTTCCCTTTTTAAAAAAAAAACACTATGCGGTGACATGTTTTGTTCTAACATAACATTTGTTCACGAATCCCTTGCAAAACATGGGACGAAGTGCGCACGCGCGCGTCGTCGCGCGCGCATGCCGAAATCCTTCAAAAACCTTCGGTGCCGGAAGGATTTCGCAATCGAGTTTCCAACTCACATACAAAACCACATGGTTTCGCAACACTGGTTTGCTAAAACAACTTCCGCGCGAGCTCTTGCGAAATCTTAAGAAAACCATAGGTTTTTCAAGATTTTCACAAAATGCTACCAAACGGGCTTCACGCGCGCGCATGTCGAAATCTGTCGAGCGCCCTTGCGCGTGTGCCGTCGCGAGAATCCTCTGCAAAAAATGTGACGAAGTGCAGACGCGCGCGTCGTCGCGGGCGTATGCCGAAAACCTTCAAAACCCATCGGTTTCGGAAGGATTTCAAAATCGTGCGTCCAAAGAACCTACAAAAACCTAAGGTTTCGCAACACGGGCTTTTCAACAAAAGCGTGCGCGCGCGCTCTTGCGTCGTCGTCGTCGTCGTCGTCGTCGCGTCCTCCCTCCCCCGCGTCGTCGTCGTCGTCGCCTACGTCGTCCTCTGTCTTTCCTCGTGTTCGTCGTCGTCGTCCTCTTTGGCGTCGTGGTCGTTTCCGTCGTCGTTGTCGCCGTGGTCGTCCTTCCTCCTCCTCCCACGTCGTCGTCGTCGTCCGTCGTCGGCGTCTTCTCGTCGTCCCTCCTATTTCGTCGCCGTCGTCGTCATTGTCGTCGTCGTCTTCCCCCCTCTCTCGTCGTTGTCGTCGTCGGCGTCGCCGTCCTTCCTCCTTCGTCGTCGTTCGCGTCGTCACCGTCCTCCCTCCTCCCTCGTCGTTGTCGTCATTGTCGTCGTTGTCGCCGTCGTCGTCCTTCCTCCTCCCTCGTCGTCGCCTTCGTTGGCATCGTCGTCGTCGTCTTCGTCGTCGTCGGCGTCGGCGTCGTTGTCGTCGTCGAAGTCGTCGGAGACGTCGTCGGTGTCGTCCTAGTCGTTGTCGTCGGTGTCGTCGTAGTCGGTCTTAAGAGGTTTTGCAAACCATGCTGCGGGTGGATGGATGGGATGTTTGCGCGAGCAGTGGAGATGACGACTTCAAGTTCGGCAGTGTGGGTTACAACACATAGCTTGCCCAGTATACCTCTGACCTCCACTGTCAAACCACGATTTTTTTTTGGCCTACGCTAGCTGACATTGAATTATATCGTCCTGTTTTAGTGCCGCGGCCATTCGTCTCACAAGTTTCCACAGTTGTATGGCTGCAGTGCGGTATGCTGTCAAGACGTGGTTCCCGCGCTAGTCCTGCGCAATCGTCTCCCGCAAATCGTGTTTAGCGCTGCAGATTCGCGCACAGATTTGAACCTGTTCCATTAAAGCAACAGGTGGAAGGCTGCGGCCCTCGGCTTCTACCCAAAACGAAAAAACAGTTCGGGCTCAGAACGGGGCCGCCGTTCCTAAAGTCCTTTCAATATTTATACAAGGCGCAAGGGAAAGGTGGCGTTCATTACTTGGCGTCCTTCTGGTACTAGCTTGGCTGCGTTGAAATGCGCTAGAACTTCAGGATGGAGGACGGCACCTGTTCAAAAAGAGATTCATGCTTGATTTGGCATAACACAGATTACCGTAAGTGTACAACTTCGCAACAGTTCGACGGATGGCAGGCGGTTCCGATTCAATATTTTGTTATCGCTTGAGGGGCCGCCAGTCTGCAGAGCCATGCTTGCAAGGACCTGCAATCTATGCGCTGCTGGAGCACGAATTTTCAAAGTGGGGCTGCCGTTGCGTATCCCCTTGAACTTTGATGCGCCGCTGTGTAGCACTCCGTCTAGACCAGAGGACGGAGGTCGGCCTCGTTCAGAACGCAATTTCCGCCTAAATTGTTGGCACTTGTGAAGCTCTTTTTGGAGTGGTCGTAGGCCTATGGCTTATGGGTTGTCACCAGCACTGGTACCGGCGCCGTGCATCCACCGAGGGATGAGGATATCGATTTCGGTGACGGTGGATGTTCGGGTTTCCTGAGTGGCCGAACTATTACCACCAGTGCCAAAATTTAGGATCATCCTCCCCCGGTGAACGCAACCCCCTGTTTTGGTGTCGGTGCCCATCTAGGCGGCGAGCACAGGGGGAAGTGAGAAGGATTTGTTTGTGTTCAGAAGGCTCGGTAAGTGTTCCCCGAAAACCCACAACACTTCTCTGAAGGCGCGAGGGCTTCTGAGAAGTCTCGCCGGATTCTGAGAAGGCCTCCTCCTTCTCACTTCCCCCCCACTCGCTCGCCGCCGACCAACGGAGGGCGGCATCCTTCAAGACGGAGCTCCCGCCCGATGTGTGGGCCCCTTTGTGGAGCTCCTCTTTGTTTACGAGGGGGGAGGAGGAGGAGGAGGAGGAGGAGGAGGAGGAGGAGGAGGAGGAGGAGGAGGAGGAGGGGCGGAGGAGGGAGGAGGAGGAGGAGGAGGAGCTGGCGCTGGAGGAGGAGCAGGAGGAGAGCAGGAGGAGGAGGAGGAGGAGGAGGAGGAGGAGAAGGAAGAGGAGGAGCAGGAGCAGGAGGAAGCAGGAGGAGGAGGAGGAGCAGAGGAGAGGAGGAGGAGGAGGAGGAGGAAGAGAAGGAGAGAGGAGGAAGGGGAGAGGAGGAAAAGGAGGAGGAGGAGTAGGAGGAGGGGGGAGGGGGTGGGGGGGGAGGGGGATGAGAGGCGGAGAGGAGTAGAAGGAGGAGGAGGAGCAAGGAGCAGGAGGAGCGGGGGAGGAGTGAGGGGGAGAGGAGCGGAGGAGGAGGAGGAGTGAGGAGGAGGAGGAGGGAGGAGAGAGCTGGAGGAGGAAGGAGGAGGAGGAGGAGTAGAAGGAGGAGGAGGGGGAGGGGATCAGAAGTCAGAGGGCGCCACCTGTGCCTGTGCCTGCTCCTGCTGGCCTCCCGCTCCAGGGGGTGGTGGACATACGCGTCACCAGCCCCAGCCAGGCAACATAGGAGGGCTCATATACACCGATCGTGGGCCCGGGATGGGCTCGGCCAGGATTTGTGCACACCCACGCCGCGCTGCTGCTGCGACGTTAACCCATCGGTTGTCGAGAGTAGATGTTTTCTGGAGTCCCACAGCCCAATCTACTCCAGGCGCCTTCCTACTTCAAGAGTCGATGTGGTGTGGCAGTTGTCTATTATGATCTGGGCGGGCCCGAACCCGATCTACTCGTTATCCGTCTTCCTGCTTCATGCTTCTACCTACTTTTTCCGACCGATGGGTACATGTTGTTCGCACAGTGTGGTCCCCTGATGGTTCTCCATCCCGAGCATTCTGCGACGGCCACAGGGCCCGGCAAGAGCCACCTGGAGGCCGAGCATTTCCCGCAGTGGGTCGTCGTGATGCTGCTCACGACGCGAAGCGATACTATTTCTTGTTCGCACAGTGTGGTCCCCCAGAGGGTTCTCCATCCCGAGCATTTTGCGACGGCCACAGGGCCCGGCAAGGGCCATCTGGAGGCTGAGCATTACCCACAATGGGTCGTCGTGATGCTGCGCATGACGCGAGGAGGGCTGGGCAGTCTGTGCCCCCCTGCGGAGGGCTAGCCGCAGCAGCAGCAGCAGCAGCAGGGTGGACCCCCGAGCTCGCGCCACCAGAGGCCGCGTACCTGTTCCAGGAGCTGGACTGCAACGTGCCGTCCGTGGTGCAGGCCACCGTCGCCGCCTGGCGGCTCTGACCTGATAGGCAAATTCTTCACCACTACTACCATATGTAGGACGGGGAATAAGGGAGGATCGATGAGGTCCTCCTCCTCCTCCTCCTCCTCCTCTCCTCCTCCTCCTCCTCCTTCTCCTCCTCCTTCCCATTTTTACCCTCTCCTACCTATGGTAGTGGTGGTGGAACATGGGCCCATCATGATCCACCGCGGAGGTGGAAGGTCGATGCTTCCCAAGCTCAGCGGGGGGCGAGCTGAGGCAGCCGCACTGTGCCTTCGGGGGGGGGCGCTCGTCGCCATAGCTGGACGCAGCCTGGGAAATCGGCGCGGTGGGAGCCCCTTGGCATCGCTCGGACGTGTTTTTTTGTTGTTTCCTCCGCGAGGACCATCCTGGATCATCGAGCAAAGGGAGCACACACAAAATCGAACAATGCACAGGGAATGACAGTCCGAGCGATGGCGAGGCCCGGGAGGGGTCCAGAAGCCGATTTTCGGGGCTCAAGAGAGGGGGTTAATGCAAACGGGATCAGCCATAGCGCTGGATCTTGCAGGATCCTGCTGGGCCAGGGGTGCATTGACCTGGGTTTGGCTGCAGGATCCTGCGGGATCTTGCAGGATCCTGCAATGCCTGACTGACCAGGGTCTGGATTGGCCCGGGTCAGTGGATCCCGAATTGTTGAATTGCCGTTGTCGCCATTCTCCCTGCTCCGACCAAGCGGGGGCACAGCAGCCTGGGGTCGGAGGATCGCACCGCACCGCTGATGCACCTCCAGGCGGCGCGGCCGGGAGCCCCGTCTGCTTGATCCCGCCGTCGACAGTGCAGCGGCGTCGGAGGGGCGTCGGGACTCGAACGACGGGGGTCAGTGCAAACGGGTGTGAGTCAGAGCGCGGGATTTATCTGGGGCTCCCAGGTGGGGTCGGACCATGTGGGGTCGGAGGATGGCGCCGCATCGGCGATGCATCGCCGATGCGGCTTGATGTGCAGCCCGATATGTTTCTTGTCGACGTCGCGGGTGCATCGCCGACTTCTCCGACGCATTGCCGATGCAACGCCGATGCATCGCCGATGCAGCGCGTTCCTCCGACCCCAGCTACTCGGACCCCATCTGGGAGGCCTCTGAAGTGACGGGGGTCAATTCAAGCGGGTGTCAGCCAGAGCGCTGGATCTTTCAGGATCCTGCAGATCCAGGGGCGCACTGATCCGTGTTTAGGTGCAGGATCCTGCAGGATCGTGTAGGATCTTGCAAGGTCTTGCAAAGCCTGACTGATCCAGTTCTGGATTGACCTGGGTCAAGAGATCCCCGAGGGCGAGCTCCGACCCCATTCGGGGAACGGAATTCTGGTTTGCCGACGTTATTTGACGAGCGCGTCTTGGATTTGTACGGTCCTGTTTTCGTGGGATGTGTGCAGCGGGAGCTCGCGTCAATTTTCAGATTGGGTCTCGTCTTTTTCATGATGGCCCCGTCAGGCCAAACCGAGTTCCCCGTACCCGAGTCTTACATCTCCCTGACCTATCTTAGCGACGGCAGGAAACGGGGTCGTCGTCACCGAAATTGGCGCGTAAGTTGTTCGCGTAAGGTCGCGAGCCAGCGCCGTCGTTTTCAATGTATCGTGCCACGATGGCAGCCTGCATAAGCCACAGCGTGAGGTCACTACGCAATCTTGCGTAAGACCTGTTTCTTTTCGTCGCTCATCTGTCCCTTTTGAGGCCTCCTCCAGAGAAGAAGGAGGTGGAGGGGGAGGGCGACGACGTCGACGCCATCCTCCTCGTTCCCCAGAGCAGGGCGACGACGTCGACGTCATCCTCGAAGCTGATTATCTCTTCCTGGCCCCTTTCGAGGCCCTCCTCCTCCTCCTCCTGCGGACGAGGGGGAGGGCGACGACGTCGACGTTGTCCTGGGCCCCCTGGGGCTGGCGGAGAAGGAGGAGGAGGAGGAGAAGGCGGGGGAGGAGGAGGAGGAGGAGGAGCAGGAGGAAAAGGAGCAGGAGGAGCAGGAAGAGAAAGATGGGGGGAGGGGGAGGAGGAGGAGGAGGAGGAGGAGGAGGAGGAGGAGTAGTAGGAGGAGGAGGAGAAGGAGGAGAGGTGGTGGAGGAGGAGGAGGAGGAGGAGGAGGAGCAAGGACATGCTGGGGAAGATGTTTCTGATTTCGTGTGGTGAGGCAGCGGTGCCCACCTTCTGGTCGGAAACCCAATGTAGCTTGGCTTTCGCTCTCGCCTTCGTCCCCGTTGCCGGCGACTCTGTCGACAAGGCGCAGGTCTGTCGAGCCGCGTCAGGCGCGTGTCTCCTGTGCTTGCACCCGCGCGCTGTCTAGTGTTACCAGTTTCCAACGATGCGATGTTCGCGTGTCGTGGGCAGGAACGGGGAGGCGGTCGTCGTCGGACGGCGGCCTCGCCCGGGGCGCGCTCGGTGGAGGAGGGAGGGTGCACGCTGGGTGCTTGACGAGGAGGAGCTCGTCCCTCTCAGGCGATCGAAAACATGGATTAAGGGGGCGTGCATTAGCGAAGGGGCCCATTTCCATGGGGAATCGCGGATTTCCGCCGCCGAACGAGGCGACACCGGCCGCATTTAGGGGAGGGCACCTCCCCCGATCCGTGGATTTGGCGACCGTGCGCCAAATCCATGGATCGCTAGTCCATTTTTTGCACGCCCCCGACCCTCTGCCCCCTGTTCCCCCCCTCGTCCCTCCATCCCACCCCCTCACCCCGCCCGTGTGTCTCCCTTCTCCTTCGACCACGTCTCGTTCATACCTCTCTCTCTCTCTCTGCTTGTCGCGTCCAGGCCTGTCTTCTCCCTCCCTATCCCCCTCCCCGCCCCCCCCGTCCTTCCTCCCATCGTTCCCCCCCCTTCGGACGGCAGCGACGACGACGCCGACGACGACACTGAAGCGACGGACGCACGGACCCACGACGACGAGGCCAGCATTTACGACGGAGGACGACGGCGACCTCAGCGGGAGGACGACCACGCGCGGACGGAAGGGCCCACCGCTCCAGATATCCGACGGCATGTGTTTTTGCTGTTCCATGCGCGGCCCAACAGGTCCCGACCTTGTCCCCAGGGCCAGTTTGAAGTCGTGCGTGTCCTCCTACACGAGGAATGTTCAAGAACAGTTCTCCAAACATCGTTCGGGGTCGATTCTGATTATTTACGATTCTTCTTAGAATCTGTTTCAATTTTCATTTGATTGTTCTCGCATAATCCACGTGTCATGGGGGCATGCTCGACCGAAGGGCCAGACTCTCGGCCCCGATGCATTTGTCGATAGCCCCAGGGTCCCGATCACGGGCCTAAGGGGCCGACATCGAGGGACGCTCCCTGATTTGAATTTTTCATGTCGTCGTTTGCCAGCCTCAAGCAGATCCTTATCCCTATGATGTGGGCGTCGCCGTATCCCGATGCCGAGTGAGTGAAGGGATTCCCTCCATTTCTGAGGGCGCACCCCTGATTTTGTCATCGCCGTTGAGCTTTTCAGTCGTAGGGATATGGCTGAGCTCGTTGCTGCGTAAACCCTTGCATCAGTATGTCTTGCATTTCTGGCGCATCTCGGCGATCTTCCCGGAGCGCCTCGCGCCACGGAGGGACATTCTCGTCCATCAGTGGTACGCGATTCGGCAGTCGTCCGGGATTGCGTTTCCCATGACTAGAAATTATGGGACACGCGATCGTGGCTCATTGAGTGTTGTTTTTTGAGGAGAATAGCATTTCCCATAATTCGCAGGGCTTTGCCCTGCGCGCGGTTCCTCCTTTCATCGCTCTCTCGACCGCCAGTTGGCCTGCTCTCCTGCACTGCTCGAGGCTCCGAAGACCTTGGGCAACCACCGGGCGGACACCGACAGGTTTCAGGAGGGGAAAAACACACAGACACAATTGATCGTCGATTCCCAAGAAAATGTTGGAAAATATGGGAAGTGGGGGGGAAGAGAGAAACCCAGAAAATACGCGAAAATATTGGGAATCCTGTTATATGTGTATATTTATGTGTGTGTGTGTCCCAGGGCCCCTTCAAGTTGGCCTGCTCGCCTGCACTGCTCGAGGCTCCGAAGACCTTGGGCCACCGCCGCCGGGCGGACACCGACAGGTTGCCGGATCTTCTTCGAAGCACGCGCGGACGGGCGTTATTTGAATGTTTGTTTGTTGTTTGTTGTTTGTTTGATTTATTTGTTTGAAGTATGCCCGCGGGGGCGGCCCCGCCGCAGCAGGCCGCCCTGGAGGTGCGGCGCCAGCGCCCTGGCGTCGTGCTCTTCACCGTGGGCGTCGACAACGGGAGGCCGACCCGGGGGGCGAGTCGTTTTCGGGGAGGAGCTCTCTTCTCGGGGGCTGCAAAGAGGGGGGTGATGATGATGATGAGGAGGAGGAGGAGGAGGAAGAGGTGGAGAAGGAGGAGGAGGAGGAGGAGCTGGAGGAAGAGGAAGACGAGGAGGAGGAGGAGTTGTTTCGAGGGTCGAGGTCGCTCGACGGAACTCTCTTCTCGGGTCATGATGTTCTAGTCTTTTTTAGCCTTGATCACCAGAAAGGAATTTCGAGCGCCAGGAAAATACAGAAATTGCACGGTTTTCACGCGTCCTGCTCCGGGAGGCGATACGCTCGTTCGACATCGCTTGTTTCGATAATGTTTCTGGGTGCTCGAGTTTATGTATGGGATGTGGTCCGTAAGTACGATGGGAGCAACGTAAGACTAGGGGGGGAGGATATCATGGCGGGGACCAACGATGTCTCTCCAGATGTCCTAGCGCCTTTTCTCATTCCAATGCGTCTCTGGGACCCCCCCCACCGCGCATGTGCCGCACTCCCCCCGCCCTCGGACGCCCCCTTCTTGTCCCCCAAAAAATTATTCGGGGAGGAGTTTCTTTTTGATTTGGAGCCGTTTGGGGGTCTGAGGTTAGGGGAACAAACATGAAAATTCGGAGGTCCGCGCGGATTTCTCGGATCGGCGTTGGACCCCCCTGCCTGGCGCGCGGAGCGCCCAAGGGGCGTCGCCGGAGGCGCCGCCAGGGGAGTAGTGCGGATCCAAGAAATCCGCGCGGACCTCGGAGTTTTGATGTTGACGTCATTGTTCGTTCCCCCATTTCAGGTGGCCCGGCATGGGTTCCGAAGAGTATCGAGCAGTGGCGAAACGTCTTGGCGTTCTTTTCCATAGGCCGGCCCACCATTCGAAATCTGAGAACCTGTTGTGATCTGCGCGAAATGTTCATAGAACTTTTCTGGCTGAGACCGTCCTGTTTTAATTCATTGGGTTTATGGTGTCCAAACATGTCGCGGCAGGCGTATAGGATTGCCGGGACGGTCGGCCCTTCCTCAAAAGAAAAAATGGGGGACGAGGTTCGCGGTTCTGATTTCGGGAAGGCGTTTGTTATTGTATGAGATAGAACAGTGTGGTTTCCACCTCCCTCTCCTCCTCCCCCTCCTCCTCCTCCTGTCCTCCTCCCCCTCCTCCTCCTCTTCCTCCTCCTCCTCCTCACGACCTGGTTGTCCTCCGCCCTGTCGTGGACGAGCAGCTGGAGCGCAGGATGCCGCTGGTCGCCTGCCGCCTCTGTGGGGTGGCGGGCGCCGCCAGGGCCAGCAGCTTCAGCGGAGAGTGCAAGCTGCCGCCGTCCGCTGCTGGCAGTGCAGTGGTGGCCAATTTGAGGCGAGGGCTCGCACCCCGCACGGCGAAGGTGGTGCCCGTGGTCATCGCGCGCCTTGACGACCAGAGCGGGGAAACTGCTGGACGTGGAGGTGCCTCGCGGGCGTGAGGACCAGCCGCTGGCGACCAGAGATGAGGCTGGAGGCGTGGACGAGCAGGTGACCGCGCTCGTGGAGCCAGCTGATGGCGGAGGAGGGGGGGGCTCGCCCCCGCGGCGTGGCGTGCACGTGCGCGGGCGCTCGCCGTCGCTGAGCCGCATGGCCAAGGTGGCCAGGCGGAGAGCGGAGGGCCAGTTGCCGCCTGGCGGCCCCGCGGCAGGAGGCGAGGTGGGGTCCGCGGGTGGCGGCGGCGGCGGGCCATGCCCACGGCGCCGCGCGCGCGAGCGCAGCAGCTCGCCGAGGCAGGCCGCCCTGACGCCTCCTGGGCGTGAGAGCCAGCCGCTGGTGAGAGGCTCGGAGGACGGAGGCAAGGAAGCGCTGGTGGCCGAGCTGGCGGAGAGGCCTGCTGGCGGAGGAGGAGGCAGGTCGCCCCCGCGGCGACGCGCGCGCGCGCACGCGGCCCCTCGCAGTCGCCTGGGCGAGCGGCCAAGGTGGCCAAGCTGCAGGGGGAGGGCCAGCGGCCTGCGGCGGACCCTGCTGAGAGAGGCGATGCGGGGGCCGCGCGCGGCGGCGGCGGCGGGCCGCCCCCGCGGCGCCGAGTGCGAGGGCGAAGCTGCTCGCCGAGCCTGGCCGCCAAGGTCGCCAGGCTGTTGCGAGCTGCGAGAGGCGAGGCTTGAGAGGCGGACTCGGCGCGCGGAGCCGCGGCCGAGGCGTGGGCGCGCGCGGGGGCGCTCGTGGCACGACACGAGCGCTCTACCCCGCGGGCATCCTCCTCCTCGCTCGCTCGCTCGCTCCTTGGGGCTTAAAAGTTTGAGCCCGTGCCAGAAGATGAAAAGGTGAAAGCCACGCGCAGAATTCCGAATTCATGCAAGAGGAGGGTGGTCAGGGCGACCCCAACGTGGGGGCAGCCAGCGAGTCCCCTTCAGAGTGCCCGACTGCCACTCCAGGAAAAGGCGGTCCTGTCGGCGAGGGGGTCGGGCCAGGGGCAATACCCGACACCATGCCCCAGGCGGCCTCCCCTCCCCAGCACGCGTCCAGATGCGCCTTCTGGACTTTCGGGTCGGGGGCGAACACAATGCCGCCCCCCCATTGGACTCCTCCTGTCACCAGACAAGGGACCTCACGCAGTGGCCGTGCACCTGAGGGGCATGCGCTCAACTGGAAATCGGGATCACTTTCAACCCGCATCGTGCAAGTTCCCGCCGCATTGCGGTCGGAAGCCCAGTCAAGGGCGGCCCCATCCCCTTCATCATTGCGCGCTGCCCCTTCCTCGCCCCCCCGCATGTTAGGTGTGATATCGGCGCTGCGTAGTCGCATGCTTGCCGCGCTGCATAGACTAGTAACAATTCCCACCGTGTCCCCGAGCTGCCTTGAGGTCGCCGAAGGCGCCGTATTCCCACCCGCTCTTTCACGAAAGCACGAGAGGCGCAAGCGGTGATTGAGACGACGCATCGGATCAGCATGTGAGAACTGCCCATGGCCCGCGGGGGAGGGCACGCCAGAAGGCCAGGCCCCCAGAGGGCTACCGAGGGGGCAACGCCCGAGTCCACGGGCGGGCACGTGTCCAGCAGGGTCCCCTACATCCAGGAAGCCCCGGGAGGGCCGCAACTTCGGGGGGCGTTCCAGCGACGGGGGCAGTAGGGTCGACCGCAGGAGACACGGGGGGGATCCAACAGGCCGGGGCGTCCTGGGCCACGCATCGCACCCACATTTCGGTGCGCGAACGCAACCAAATATTCTTTCTCGCCGTCCAACTCCTCACACAATCACTGGTCTGAGCGCACCCCCATGGGGACACGGCGGTTCTAACAGGGGTGAGGCCCTCGGGGAGCGCATCCATGGGGTGCGAGGCTTGCACAGAGCTCGTTAAAGTGTACTCAATATACAGGCACGCGATTTTCCCCTCCTCAATAAGCTTGCCTACCGCAGCAATCGTGTAAGGGGAGAGCAGGCCCGTGGAGTCGGTAGTCGCGCACTCAAGCACAATGGGCCACACGCGGTCTTCTCGCCATAGTGGCTGTTCCGCAAACACTCGCATGGCATTCTTGCTCTCTGTAGACCACAAACACAGCGTGCGAGCACGGGAGAGGGTGGGCGGGGGCCATGATTGGCCCAGTCTGCACGGGGGTGTCCCGAGGCGCAACCACGGCGGCAGGCAGAGCTATCTTTGGCGGCTTGGGGATTCGGATCAGGGGGCGGAAAGCGGGCCCCGCAATCTTCACCGCGGGAACATGGGCAAAGCATTCGGGCAGGCCCTTGGATCGGTTCACCCGTTTTACTTCCCGCCTTTCCGTCAGGCATTCCGCCGGCTCCTCCTCAGAAGGGCGCAGCGGGGAATGATGCCAACGCATGCGGCAGCTGGCCGCACTTTGAATGTGCTTCAACAGTCTCGCAGTATCCCAAAACTGGGTGACACAAAAAGGACACGCCGTCCCCGTGACAAACGCAGTCGGGCTGTCTTCAGTCTTATGTGGTTTCCCGGTGTGGATTCTTACAACTTGCTCCTGCTCAGACGTGAAACCACACAAATTACATAGGTATTGGGAGTCCGCTACCTGAGTCTGGGTTTCCGTGGCCTCCTCGGGCTTGAGAACAACAGGGGAAGGGGGGGCAAGTGGGTTTCCCTTGACTCTTTCCATTGGCAGCGGCATGGCGATGGCGCTGGTCAGACTTGAACCGTTGGCCATACCCTTGCTGGCCTCAGTGAGTCTATTCCTCCACATTTCACATCCAAGTTCTTCCTGCTACTGATACCTAGCCCGTGCACCTGCAATCTCCACAAGCCCCACCAATCGTCGGGGGTCGTTCCTGACCATGTTCAGCCAAAAGGGCATCCATTCGCCATGGGGCGGGTCCGACGGGGGCGATTTTGCGGAGCCACGCAAGGTCCTGGCAAATAAGCTGGGGCCACAGGCCAGGGACTCCCCAAACCGAATCGAGTAACATTCGCACCATCGGGGGGGGGGCACGCACTAAGAACTGAGTCAGGCAACGAAGACGCATGATAGAGAGTACGACTTGGACAGGCAGGCGACTGACGGCAGCCAAAACCTTGCGAGAGGCAGCGTGATCATCCTTATTGTTGCGCTTCCCTAGGTTCATGGCAGTTCTGTAAATAGCTGTATGGTGCTGCACAATCAATCTTTCAATGTACACAGGCACCTCATGCCAAGTAGAGCTGCAATAGAACATCCGCGACGCAGCCAAGGACTCACAATGCATGACCTTCTTGGCCAGGGGTATGAGGGGGGGGGGGGGGGGATCAGTTCAGTTGCTTGATGGGCTTGAGGGCCCCCGCCATCCCCGCGGCACGGTGCGCCACCTCTGCTCCGAGTCCCCCTGTATCCATGCACATGGCCCCTAGCACTCGGTGGCACCGCGTAATTTCCAGGTCCTGCCCCCAAGCCTCCGAACGGGGGGTGGGTCGACTTTGCGTGGCCAGCCTTCTTCTAGCTGCTTTTTGTCCCGCCCCACGGAACGCCAACAGTATATTGGTCTTGGTGGGGTTGACCAACAGGCCCCGCTCCTGGACAACCCCGCACAGGA